TAATATTAATATTAATTATAATAATAATAGTAGTAATAATAATAATTATAATTATTATTATTATAATTATAATTATAATAATAGTAATGATAATTATAATAATAATAGTAGTAATAATAATAATAATAATAATAATAATTATTATTATTATTATTATTATTCATTTAAAAAAATATTTTTTAATTCACAATATTCTCATGCACAACTAAACGCAGTAATGTAATATTCTTAGGAATTTGAGAAAGATTTATGTATGGAACCAAACACAATAATATATTATTTTTAGGAATCATATTACCCTCCATCACTTTTTTGAGAATATGATTTCTTATGATTACCCTATACCAAACGGCCCCTAAGGGTTAATTTTTGCAATTTTCACTTCTATAGTAATTTTTCTTCTGACGCCCAATGGGCTCCCAAACATGTCACATTGCCAGTCTCTCATTCTCATTGGTCCGTACAACACTCGCACCGGAGCGTTCGCGCCATCTCTCCGGAGCATCGTGCCGATTCGCTCCCTCCGTACAGACGCCGGCGAGTCGAACTCAGTCATGGCCGCCGCCAACTCCGTCCGAGTCGCCGCCGCTCAGATGACCTCCGTCAACGACCTCGCCGCCAACTTCGCCACCTGCTCTCGCCTCGTCAAAGTAATTTGATCGCTTATCTGTTTTTCTTTTTTTTTTTTCTCGTCATCCAACAATGATAAATACTCACGAATTTTCACTTATATATGATTAGAAGGAATTGGAATCTGAAATTGGATGATTTTCGCACTATTTCTTGATTATTTCGTATAAAAATTTTGTTATAATCAGCTATTCCAATGTCGATAATATTATTCAATCGATTTTATCAAATATCCAAAAGTCTTATTTTATAGATTTTTTAATCGAAATTTCCGTAAATTTTGAGCCTTTGGTTATAAAAATGATGAACTATTGAATCTGTAAAGGAAGCAGCTTCAGCTGGGGCGAAATTGATATGCTTTCCTGAAAACTTCGCCTTTGTGGGTGCCAAAGATGGGGAAAGTCTTAAAATAGCAGAACGTTTAGATGGACCCATAATGCAACAATACTGCTCTTTAGCAAGGTGCTAAGTTCATACTTTCACTCACTGGTTGTTTAGATTGTTTATTCATTTTATTGGCTATAGAGATTTATGGGCAGGTATTTGTTGCAGAGAATCAGGCATTTGGTTGTCACTTGGTGGTTTCCAACAAAAAGAACCTGATGATAAGCGCTTGAGTAATACCCATGTTGTAATTGATGATGCTGGGAACATCAAAAGCACTTATAAGAAGATACACTTGTAGGTGTTTTTTTTAACTTTGGTTTTGTTCATATTTCTTGTTTTACACTGGTTTTTGGTTTTGTTGTTTTGTTCTTGTTTCTTGTTTTACTCTGGTTTTTGGTTTTATCATGGCTTATCGCATTGCATGTAGTTTATTGCTCTTTTTAGATGCATTTTTCTGGATCTTACTATCTTATCCATGCAATCGGAGATGTTCGACTCACGTGTTTTAAATCATCTAATTTTAATGCATTCCTACGTCTCTTTTTCCCCTTCCCCTTAACGATTTTGAAGGCCCTGGCTCTCTGCAATTTATGGTTTTACAGTTCACACAAATTTTGTTAGAACTCATCACACAACTGTTATGCCATAAAGTTGGAATTGATGTTGCATATATGCTATTACGACATAGCACTAAAAACGATAATTTCCTTTCTGTTTCAAGGTTTGATGTAGATATTCCTGGTGGAAGATCATTTAAGGAAAGCAGCTTCACGGAGGCAGGTTAAGTTCCTTGTCCATTTAAATATTTATAAATAAGATTTTGAAAACCAAAGAGTAGTGTTTTGCATCATTTCTACATGGTTAACAATTGTTTATTTTGTTGCATTTTGAATCTGTAAAGACCGTGCTGTTAATTCTCTTAGTAACTTTACTTTTAATGGTTTTGGAATTTATACAACCATGGATGGCTATATTTCACGTGTTTACACACATACATGTATGTATTTGGGTGGAGTGAAAGAGGTGTATGTCTTTTCCTCTCCACCAGTTGTGTGTTTCTAGAATTACATATGAATTTGAGCGATGTCAATTTCTTATGTTCTCAGGAAAGAATGTTGTCACAGTAGACAGCCCAGTTGGACGATTGGGTCTCACGGTTTGCTATGATCTAAGATTTCCAGATCTTTACCAGAACCTCAGGTTTCAACATGACGCACAGGTACAAACGGGCTTCTTATCTTATTTATTGAGGAGTTACTTAGTGTCTTATGCTGGCTTCTTGGTTTATATTCTTTAGGTCTTATTGGCACCTTCAGCCTTCACATTGGTAACAGGCCAGGCACACTGGGAGATTCTCCTTCGTGCTCGTGCAATTGAGACACAGTGCTATGTACTAAATCTATTATACTCTAGTAACTGCAACTCCTTTTGCTCCTTTTATCTACTGTTTCAAGCAAAAAATTCTTGTACATTGATGGTCCAGAATGTTACATGCTATCTTCTTCCTAGATGCTCCTATTTTGGTGATAATTTGATAAAATATATTTACAGGTCATTGCTTCTGCACAAGCTGGAAAGCATAATGCTAATCGAGAAAGCTACGGTGAGACATTGATTATTGATCCATGGGGTACAGTAGTTGGTCGGCTTCCTGGTGAGAAAGACTAACTCTCTCCTCATCTTTTCTGCATGATTTTCTGTGTTTGTCAATTAGCTGGACCATTTTTGCAGCCTGCAACATTTTGGTTGTGGCTCAGATTGTGGTTACTTGGTCTATAAGTTTAACTGTATTTGACTTTCCTTTGATGGCCGATTAAGATTAAGCGTTCAGTCTGTAAAAAATATTTGTGATATACGCATTGTTATAATACCTGTTTGCATATCACTTAAGGACTTGTTTGTCTTATATTTTTTATTTCTTAAAATTCTCTTTTTGAGTTCTGTCCTGTCCTCTAACGGCTGACAAGCTATTGTATAATACGTAATTGGAGGCATTAAATGTGTAATTTCCTTTAAGTGACGGGACCTGAACAGAACCTTTAGATGCATTTCGCCGTTTTACTTGGAGAATATGTCACACATCTAGATTGGTCCAAAACCATTTTGAAAGCGTTTCTTTTCCCTATGGGTTAAAAACTTAAAATATATACACCTGCTTATCTATGACTACGAAAAAGTTTGGTGTGAGTTCTTATGCTTTTATCATGTATATCTTTTCTAGCAATTGGTGCAACATCAATTTTACCATTTCTGGTCACTGTTGCAGATCGACTGTCAACAGGGATTACTGTGACTGATATTGATTTCTCACTGCTCGATTCAGTCAGAACAAGGATGCCAATTTCTAACGTAAGCTCTGCTAAACCTTGACTGAAAACGGCCTAACTTGAATCACAGGGAATCGAAATGTTTCCTTTTAACTTCAAACTGAATGGATAAGTTAATCGTGCTTAGTGCATCAAACATGTGCTCAATGCTTGTGAGACAGGCAGAAAGAGGGTCTAAAAGCTCTATGGTGATTAATAGATTAAGGGCGTATTTACTTCCCATGCATGGGAAAGGGAAAGGGAAAAGTGTTTCTCTTTCCCACATATTCATGTGTTTACTTACAAAATTAGGAACAATGATTCAGTAGGGCCCAAATGCAAGAAATGGGGAAAGGGATTGCCAATCCTAATTACCCTTAGCATTGATTCCTAGCTAATTGGAATAAATGCTGAATGTACTTATATGCCCTTATCAAGTCAATGATTATTTAATTATGCACAAGGACATTTAGTAATTGTTAATTAAGTCGACGAGATTCCAATTCCCTTCCTATTACACTTCCCAATAGATAAGTAAAGGCTAGAAAGGGAGCAACAATCCTCATTCTTATTCTTTTTTCTTTCCTTTTCAAACTCGTTACCTTTCGCATTACATTTTGTTATAATTTGGTTACATTCCCTAAGAGCGGAGTTAAAGTAGTATTGCTTTAGGATAGACTTTTGGGTTAGGCATTAGCACTGGAGGTTTAGATGGGTTGGTTATTCACGCAAGTGATGGTAATATCTGGCGCATATTATACATGCCATGCATAATTTGTTCTTAACACCTGTATAACTCTTCTTCTTTTTTTTTTATTTTTTATTTTTATTTTTTTTTATTGCTTTCAATCTTCAGCATAGGAAGCCCGTTGACTTCTGGAAATCTGCATCACTATGATATCAATCTACAAGATGGAGTATGACAGCCATTTTGCGTTTATTTGTACTATTAAATGCCGGACAGTGTGCTATTTCCTGTTTGTATTTATTGGAAAAGTGGTGGCATATTTTAGCTACCCTTTGAACTGTAATAAGCATTTCCATAATAATTCTCCTTAAAGAAAATTCGGGACTGAGTCCTTGGGTGCGAAATTTTATCTCTTTATTAAAGGTTCTACTTGTTCTATAAAAGCTGAACAGACATTTAAATTTACTTCTCTGGATAAGAAAATTTGGTTTTGATTGGAATCTTCAACAGTTAAAAGAGGCGTTTACTTTTTCCTATATTAACTAAAGAGGAGTGGGAATCTCTCTTTCTCAAAGCAATCCAATTGGGCAGTCCCCTCTTTTTTTTTTTTTCTTTTTTTTTTTTTGCCAGTCACATCCTCTTCATCTCCTTAAAGAATCTAAACAAACGATATATGCACATTAGTTCTCCATTTACTACTTCACAACACAGGAACAACGGAACCAAACCATGCTGAAGTTTCCATTCATTCTTTTACACTAGCCCTAGTTGTTTCTTTGCCAATCAACGGAGTCCAATTCCAACCAACCAACCAAACCTTCCAAGGACCCCAAAGAAACTGCTCCTACTCGATTGAAATCGAGACAACATGCGCACCAATGGCTGAAACTAGAGATCATGTCAGTGTTAGATTCAGCGACTCCAAGGGAAATGTGGTCATAGTGAAGCAATTGAAGAACCCCAAATTGTTGTATGCTCCTAAAAATGGCTCGAAGAAGCGAGATGGAGCTTATGGCGGCTTTGAACGTTGTGCTGTCGACATGTTTGAGTCAAGTGGTCCATGCGTGAGTGACAAAGTGTGCTCTTTGTACCTTAAGAAAGTTGGTTCAGATGAATGGAGGCCTGGCTGGATTAAGGTTCATCAACAGGAAGGTGGCAGCCTCGTGCAAATCTCTTGCATGTTTTATTTTAGAACATTTGTGCCCGAAAATGTATGGTATGGTTTCAACTATTGTCACTCCTAAGTGAACAATTCACCACTTGATGTCTCTTTTGGTTAGGACTAAGATGAAAGTTCGATAGACAGTCCATTGGAGAACTCTTCATCAGTATTGTAATTTAAGTGATAATCGGTGTTTGAAATAGGACTGCACGTGTTTGTTATTGCGTGATGAAAACGAGTTTTAGCATTTGATTATATCCCCTGCTAGTATTTTTACATTTTTTTTTTCCTTTTACATCCGCTTGGTCTAGTGGCATCAAGAGTTTCGGGGAGGTTGTAGATTCGATCCCATTTCGTGTGTATATATATATATATATATATATGCCTAGTAGATCATTTTTTAAGCAACCTCTATGTTTACGCCCCGTTCTTTTCGCTGATTCGAGTTTTGCTACAGTAAAAAACTCTAAAAAACAGTCACATTTAACTTTTTTATTACAGTAAAAAACTCTCACACAACATCACATCTCAACTCGAATTAGCGAACCGAACGAGTATATCTCAATACCAAAAAAAAAAGCGCGTATTAGGACAATTGATGAAGAGAGAAAATTAGAACTAAATATTAAAAATAAAAATAAAAATTACAACCGACACTAATGCTAAATTACACTTCCAAAATATGTCAGGTAGAAAAGGGTAAACCACTTGCAAACTATCAAATTTGTCAGTTACAAAAGAATCTTTAAATTATTCCTTTCACTTCTTACTCAACAAAAACTTCAACTGAGAAAAAAGGAGACGAACAAACTCAAAAAGTATAGGGACTATCAACAGTATAGTTAATTCTATGAGAAGCCTTGGTCTTTGCAGTCATTTAGAGGCAAAATTCTCGCGTATGATCGGGACTGGCTAGAAGGTCAAAGGATTGGTTCCCTATAGTGTCTTTAAGGATTGTGATCTGACCATCCTTTAGAAGTATCTCTTCATCCTGGGCATCCAACTTCTTTCTCAACATATTATTTTCAGAGTTCAAAAGCATGTTCTTTTCACTGTATTGCTTCACTTCCTCCCACATCAAATCTCTCTCCGCCGAAATTTTAGGAAGTATCGCCCTTATGACCGTCAATTCCTTGGTAGAATCTTGGAGATCACTCTGTAATCTATTGAGATTCTCATCCTTCTTAAGCATCTATTGTTCATATCATGTCAGAATTTCACAAGTAAAAACCAAGCTACTAGTGGTGAAAACTAACACAAGTAAAGAGGAGAGCAATTATGAAATTCCTGACTGATAAGACTGTATTGGTGATAAACAAATAGGTATATCAACAACGAAACCAGTGGAACCCCAATGCAGATTCTAGGTGAAATAGAACAATAAAGACACCGTGCCTACAAAATACCAAAATGACTTTCTAGCAGAACAAAACTATTAGGCACATCAACAAAAACAAATTGCTGACCGATAAGACTCTTTTGGTGAAAAACAAATAGATGCATCAACAATAAAATCAGTGGCACCCAAATGCAGATTCTAGTTATTTTGGTTTGTGTTTGTTAGATCAAATTGTTTTGGTATTTGTTGTAATTTTTCATCCTCCCCCCCGGCTCTTTTTCCTGAGGATTCCTCAACTCCTTCTACCTTGTATTGATTAATAGTTTATCAATAAAGGTTTTCATTTATTATAAAAGGAAGAAAAAAAAGAAAGAACACTAAAAATACAGTGTCAGTGCCTACAGAATACCATTTTGACTGTTTCTAGCAGAGCAAAATAATTACTTGCCCATTGTGTTTCTTCTTATAGACTTCGTTCTACTGTCCTCAGTAAAGCCAACCATCTGTAACTAAGCTAAATGGCCCATAAAGGAAAGTCAATAAGGTGAAAAAAAAAAAGGTGCTGGGTGCATTATCATTTGAAGGCTACCATAACAAAACAATCAAATATAAATGCAAAATCCCTTTAGTAATGGGATGAAAAACACCAAATGCTGGAAAAATGCCCAAATGAATGAAATTTGACATTGATATCGTTATGCAAAGGAATTACCTGAAGTTCAAGATCCTTTGATTTGTGGGTAACAAAGGAGAGGTTATCCATTGCAGTTTGGACCTCGCATTGGAGGATATCAGCACCTCTTACGGCAGTTGAAAGTTCAGCTTGCAACTGCTCAACTTCCTGCTCTTTAGAACACAGTTTCTCTCTCAATAAACTCGTCAGCAAAGTTTCTGCTTTAAGCTCGTATTTCATTACATCCTGCGCATGCAATAGACAATTAATAACGTTAAAAAAAAAAGAATTGATAACTGCATTAATAAAAGTAACATACTTAAAGTCCAAAAAACAAAAAAAAAAACAAAAAAAAAAAACAAAAGAAAGAAAGAGAGAAACACCTTCAAATACGGTAAGCAAGCAACAAAACCTACATATTACTTCTCATACTTAAAATAAAAGAAAAAAAAAGTCATAATCTTTAAATGGTAGCAACTCACCTCTGACATTGGTGGATTTGATTGCATTACTCCATTAACATCTGTGCACTTCGACTGATATATAGAAGCAGCTAGATTGGACTTGTCATGCAACAAAACAGAGATCGTCTGCAAACTCCTTGTAAGGTTTTCGACCCCACGCCTTAATCCTTGTACTTTCATCTCAGATTCAACAACAAAGTGTCCATCTAGGCTATACTTGGTAACTTCAGTTTCTTGCTTAGCCACTGAAATTTGACCTGCTTTGATAAATTCAAGAAATTTTGAACATAATTGTGAGCTCTCATTTAACAACACCAGCCCTTGATTTTGCAAACAGCAAACTCGAGTCCACATTTCCTTATCCAGCCTAACAGTTAAAGCATCACTTTCTTTCCCATTGCCCTTTAAACGGTTCAGCGTTCAGCAGATTTATGTTCTCATGTCGAAGAGAATCAACCTCAAGCCTAAAAGATTCCAACTCCCTTCTCAAGGCAAGTTCCACTCCTGTCAACCTCATTTGCTCCATCTGCAACTTTGCCACATTCTTATTGCACTTCTCCGTTGACTGGTTCTTCCCTGACTCCTCACCAAAAGCCTCACGTAAACCATCAATCGTCTTCTCTTGTTCACTGCAGGTTCTTAGTAATCTTGTAACAGTTTTGTGCAGTTCCCTGCACTCCTTATCCTTATTTTCAAAATTATTTTGGAGGCAAACACGGTCTTCTTCGGCAGCTCTGTAGTTCTCTTGTAATTCTGACAGATTTCTCTTAAGATCTTGATTCTCCTCATTCATGTCCTCCACCCTTTGACTCATATCTTTGAGTTGTTGCTCGAAACAGGTTATCATGCTTCTGCTCTCTGCATCCCTCTCGTGAAAAGATGATACTTCCCTTTGAAGTGAAACATTTTGCTCCGCAAGCTCTCTAACTCGCTCGCGAAGTCTTTGTTCTTCTAACTGGAATTTCTCAAGCTTATTGGACCACTCACTGGACCTCCTATCGAGCTCCCTCTCTAGTGCCGATTGTAATTCATTCTTTTCCTTCTCCAGTCTCCTAGTTTGGGACTGCAGTTCTGTCTTTGCAAGTCTATGTTCTTCCTTGGCAGAAGCACTGTCAGCAATATGTGAATGCAGACGGCGTGAAACTTCGAGCGCCAAGCTTACTCTCTCCTCGGCTAAATTCCTGATCGTCTGAATCAAAGATGGCACATCAAAATCACTGTTGTTAAGAAAGCTTTCCAGCTCAAGTTCTTCGGACAAAAGCATAACTCTCTCTTCAGCTTCCTTGGATCTTCTCTGTAAGTCGAGATCCACATCCTCCTCACATTCCTTGGAGTTAAAATCCTCAGAGAATGGCTTTTGAAAGTATGGGTAATCCTCCCCGTGAAATTTGTTGATCGTCTCATAAGGTTCATCCAATGAACAATTCCTCTGAGATCCACCATAAACTTCTTCTATTGTAACTGGCATCTCACGCTCAAGTTCCTTCTGATTTCTTTTCTGAATGCGAGACTGAGAAAGTCTCTCCACAACATGCTTCGCAAGTCTCCGTGGAGATTCATGCCCAAATCCATATTCTGCCCAATCTCTGGGGGAGAAACGGAGACGAGAACCTTTGGCCTCTCTAAATGAATGAGCTCTTGCTTTATCTTTGATGCTATCTGTTGGAGACGAAGGTAATGTATACTGCACTCGCGGAGGACGCCAGCAGCCCCCATTTCCAGCAAAGTTCCCCTGTGAAGTGTTGTTGACTCTGCTCTTTTCCATTTGCTGCTCTCCATCAATGTAGCGATCCAAAATTTTACCTGATACACTACTGGAACTAGTGGAAGAAGAGCTTCCTGAGGAATCTTGGTGGGTTTTAGAAGAACAAGCAGAACCAGATCTCGGCACCTCAAAACGCTTTGTTGTATGCCTCTCTGGGGTTTGAGAGCTAACAAACACAAAAATCAAACTGAAAATTAGTCTTAAAAAAAAAAAAAAAAAAAAAAAAAAGGAGACGATAAGAGTGCCAAAACATTAAATGGAACTCAAACGTATAGAATATCATACAGTAACATATTAAGTTCACAAAACAAAAACTCAGATAAGTACATCATATACATATAGTATGCTTTACCTCAAGTTCATAAAACCAAAAGTCAGACAAGTTAGTGTAGTTGAAATTTAGGCAAGTATAGAACCCTCACCGGAAAGAACGGTCACATTGCTGATGAGGAATACCGCTTCTACTAGAAGTTGAGGGAGATCTACTCTGATTTCTCGGGGAAGAGAAGTCAATTTGTCCTGGCTCAACACCAAGGAAGGCTGCTGATGACATTGAGCGGCTCCTTCTAAGAGCTGGACAATTACTGGCTTTCTGAACATCCGATACTTGCTTCCGAGATTTGGAAAACAAGCCTTTAGGACTTCGAAAATTACTCTCGGCTATGTTATAGCTCGCTTGGTTGTTCCGCCCACTTTCTGATGGATTCTCCCAGTAAACTTCTTGTTGGGTTGGTGGAGGAAACTCTTTGTTGTTCCCATTACTAGATGAAGAAGATCTGAAAAAGAATAGCTTCTTCATGTCTGAATCTCAAGCTAAGATTGCTAACTGCAGGTCATCAAAGTTTGTGGTCTTCAATTCTGAACTCTACGTCCAAGCTCTTTTGGAGGTCGGGTATTTATAAACCTGTAATCAAGCGAAAAAAATGAGAAAAGGAATCAAGAAAAAGGGAAAAACCGTACAGACAAATCATCATCATAATTAGAGGCCAATGCAAAATTGTAGCATATGAGAGGAATCATTACTACATCAGTCCAGTAGAATACAGCTCATATGGAAAGCTGAATTGAACAGATACTACCATGTAACGTATAAAAGTACAAATTATAAAATAAAAACAAAAATACACAATAATTCACTACAATAAGAGAAACCCAGATGAAAACTTTTGATACTTGGACCAAGTTGGGAATGTCAACAAGTCTTACCAACTCCCTACCCTTCACAGAAGATTTTTCAGCTTTTTCTTTTGTTTTAGATAAAAAAAATCCAAGAAGCAATTCTCTAATTCTTGTATTTCACCAGATGAACTCATGCACCAGACCCCAAATGAACCAGAGTAGATAAGTACACATTAATGAAGGTTGCAGACGAGTTGATTAATAGGAATCTACTTATTTTAATAATTATTAAAAAATTTCCTATTGAGCTTTAACACCTGACTCTTACCGTTTCCAAAATCACTAGCTTGGCAATTGGCATGTCAGAAGAAAAAAGAAAAAACAGCGATTTAAGAGCAGGGCACGTGGGATTACTAGACTGTCAAGATTTCAGAAATGCCCATCTAATGCAATTTGCAAAAAATGTGATTAAAACAAAAAAGGAATCAAATATCATAAAACATAAGACGATATGGGTCAGTTGATTTCATTGAATAGAATCAAAACGTGAAATGACCTTATTAGCCTCATCTCTTTCATTGCCTTAAACCCTGAAAAGTGATAACCCTTCTCTATATTATTCCCAAAAACCTAGGAAATTCTCCCCATTAATGGCCCTGAGAAAGTAAATACACACACACACACACACACACATTTATACACACTGTTCCAGTTTCTTTTCCCAGAAATCGAGACATTTCATCGTCATCCTAAAACCCAGTCGAACCTTCTGTAATTTCTCAAGAATTTCAAGATAAATTAAATGGATTATCTACAGTCAGTTCTACATTAAACAGAATATATACGATCCTAACTATTCAGAAAGCAAAGAGGGGAAAAAAAGGTTATCAACGAGTGTTTGCTTGCTTCGAATCCAAAGAAACAAAACCTTTCTCCAATAAATGCCTTTCGTAGTATAGGATCATTGTGTTTTTGGTTGCCGAGAAATGGCGAAGGGAAAGGAAACAGAGAGAAAAAACATTCCATAAAATTAATAAAAAGAAAAGAGCAAACTATCAACAACAAGACTAAAGCAAAATCAACGGAGCTAAAAGGAAAATCCCTAAAATTTAACTTACGAAATTTACTTCGTTCGTCTTGATTCTCCCTGTCGTCACTTTCTCGGCAACCAAACAGAAACTGTACGGAGAAAAAGACAAAAAGGAAAGATTTACGAAGTTCCTTACTCTGCCTTTCTTTTTTTTTTCCCTCTCTCACTCTCTTTAAACGGTCAAAAAAACTCAAAAAGAACCCAAAATACAAATAAAGCACAAAATTCAAAAGACAACAAACATCAGACACATAAATATATATTTATATAGCGCACAAAAACACAATAAATCTACCCAAAAAAAAAACGAATTTACATTTCTTCGCGACATTTATTTCCAAAAAAAAAAAAAATCTGGAGGTTTCAAAAATCCAAATATGGTAATTAATTAATTTACTTACCGGTACTGGTCGGATACGCACTTTACTTTCGCTGGCAAAATTCAAATTTCGAAAAAGAAAAACTCTGAAGAAGAAAAGAAATCCGAATTCTCAGCGAAACCGATTTTCAGAAGAAGCAAGAGTGAAGAGCTGCTGATTGAGGAGAGAGAACGGAGCTTTGTAGAGAGAGAAAGAGAAGGAGCGTCAGAGGACGTTGGAGGGAAAACGTTAAGAGTGACGGCGATTGCTGTACGGCGACGGAAAACGTTAATAAAGGGCTTTAATAATTAAAAGAGGAAAAAAATAAGCGCCAAAGCCAATGGAAGGGTAATTATGTCCTAAAGGAGAAATTTTTGAATGTCGTAGTGCCCGCGGAAAAAGCGGAGGGAGCGTTTTAGGTGTGGAGAAGTTGTAATCTAGTGGGGCCAAGCCTAGTTGAGCTTGAATGATACTCTGGGCTCCATCGCTAAAGAACTGTTATGTCTTGACACGTCCGCGTGATCAAACTTGAGCTGTTTTTCTTTTTGTTTGAAGATTTCTCTAGTAGGCACTGATAAAATAAATACTGAAAAGATTGTTCTCAATCGTAAATTTGTATCCTCAAATTTAATTGTTGTTCTTATATTTTTTAATTTAATATAATTTTAACTAAATTTAACTATTAGAAATAGATTATATTCATAAAGATGCCTATCAAAAAAGTCAATTTTTTTACTTCAGAAATAGTAGAAAATATACCAATATAAAAAGCTTAAGAAAGTATATAAGCTAATTTTTAGTTATAGAAATTAATAGGCCATAACTTGTCAAGTTATAGTTCATAACCGGATAAGTTATAGACAAATTTGTCAAGTTATGGTTCATAGCCAGACAAGTTATGGATAAAAATCGTGATTTATAGACAATAACTTGTCAAGTTATGGTTCATAACCAGACAAGTTATAGACAAAAACAGTAATTTAACCTATTTATTAACTTATGTAAACTATTGGCCTATTAATTTTAATTCATCTCAAGTCTTGGCATATTTTTCTTTTTCTCCCTTTTTACTTTTGCGTCTAAAGTTATTCAAGTTTAACGCTAATAAAAAATTATTTAACTTATCTTTAAAGTGTATGAATTTATATTTTTAATCTTTATTTTTAATTTATATTTTTAACTAATATATTTATTTGATTAAAAGTAATAATATCAAGAGTAATCTAAAAATTTAGATTCATAAAATAAAAAATATTTATATCTTTTTCTCAGTTAGTGTCTGCAAATTGACTTAATAATAATAATAATAATAATAATTAGTGGATTACGCATAAATTTATTTGGTGGACATCGACAATAATAAAGTAGATAACATGACATTCAAAAAGTGAAGATGATTATTTGTGGGGTCTAGTTTTTATTCTAAATGCATAATGCTTTTGTGTTAATCACACATCGGGTCATGATGCAAGGCACTAGTCCAAAATTTTAATGTTGGATTTTCAATTTACAGAAAACATCATTTACTCTTCTTCTTCATTTCTCTTTTTTTTTTTTTTAGGAACAGGAAACATCATTTGTATTACATGTGGAGTGTACACAATTATGATTTTATTCATGGGATCCACATTTATGATTAAGAAATAAGAAACCAAACTTCTTTCCTTCCAAAAAGAAAAAAAAAAAAAAACTAAATTCTTCGTTTTCTTTCTAGGAAGTAGAACCAATCAGTGTTTACAATTACCTCATGTTTAAGTAAAACTTTTGTTCATAAATTGAGTGGCTAAAGTTTTAATTTGTATTGTAGGTTTTGTTGTTCAACTATTTCCTTGGGAGAAAAGAGTTGCATTTAACTTCACTCATTATAAGACATTACATTCTTGTTGTGCATTTACTTGCCATGAAAAAAAGAATGAAAAATGAAAAAGAAATTATTTGTTCTGCATACTTTTATTAATCTGATGTGATTTTCACTTAATCTAAAATTAAAAACTGACAAAAGTCAAAAACTGACACTATCGGTAGGACTAGCCTACCAGAAAAACTCTGCTGTTTATAATTTTATAAAAGATTGTGTTACGAAAAAAATAAAGACATGTATTTATTTGTAATATTAGGAATGATAATTTAATAGTCCAACTATATAATATAATCCTTAAGTATTTTCATAGTCAAATAAAATGTCAAATTTATTTGTTTATCCTCGATAAGTTTAGCAAACTAATAGGTATTTAATTAAAAGGATAATTTAATAATTGCATTGATAGAATTTATATTACTAAATTAATATTTTAGTAATTATATTGAAGGATAGGAACCTTTACTAAATTAAATAAACTTTAAAAAGAAAAATGGATTATTTACCATTCCACATAAATGAACACTAAAAATGAAATAAAAAATCTTTTTTTTTATTTACTTACTTTTCTTTTCAATCTCCCTTCCTTTTTCGTTACATTTCTCAGTGATTAGTATATATTCCCCAAATGCATTTCATTTTCTCATACAATGATATATTTGTAGGGAAGTTTTTCCCGTATGACAAAAAAAAAAATGAAATTATTGGTAGTTTTATTTTTTTCAATCATTTTCAGTCTTAGATCTGTATCAGAAACTGTCTATTATGCATATTTTTTTAATCTTATTTAATTTTGATCAGATTCAACAGTCAAACAACTGATCATAACGGTAGAACGGCCTATGAAAGACAGTCCCTATTTATAGTGTTTTGGTAGAATATATTCATAGTTGTTTGCAATGACATGTGTTTGCCAATACTTTATTTGCACTTCAGAATATTATTTCCATTAATGATATTTGTCCAATTGGTGCAAAAACAGCAGTCAAATGTCCTTCATGTCCCCTTAACTTTCTTCTTCTTTACTTATCATCTTCATCAGAAAATTCCGACAGTTCTTTTCACAAGAAAGTTAGAATTTTGTTTCCAATAGAATATGTTCATTCTCCTTTCTGCATGTTGTTGTTAGGAGCTTCTCTGGTAGGATTATGAAAAATAAACTACTTATAGTTTTCTAGTTTTCTATATAAAAAATTATCTATTATGTATATTTTTTTAATTTAACTTGATTTTAACCTGATTTAACGGTGAAAAATTGATAGTACCAGTATAATTAACCTACGAGAAACTCTCATTGTTTTAATATTTTGTTAATCATACAGAGAAAGATATGTGGTTACTTATATCTTATTTTATAGTTGTTATAAGTTCAGTAAACGTATATTTTAATTTATTTGTAGTAACTTGTGTACGTTTTATCGTTTTTGTGTGATTTTCAATTAGACATGTAGCTTTTAAGGATCATGTATTGAAGATTTTAGGGGTATTAAAATGAACATCGACATTAGATTCATTAATGCATCAATTTAAAGATCTACATTGAAGGAGGATGGCTTTTCGAAGAGTTGAGAATTTATTTTTTTGTGCATCTGATTTTATCTTTAGTGAAATCAATATGGTTTGATTGTTTTAATTATAATGAATTTGTTATATAGATTTTATTTTAACAAAATCTATTAAGTCAATAGAGGTAATTGCGAGTACCTCAGATAGGTAAAAGATAAAAAAAGGTCATTTTAGTATATTCATCATCAAACAAAGCACCAAACCACTTGTTGAAGAGTTCTACAGTGAGATTGACATCCCTGTGACCATCCCGCGAGGAAGGATGCACGAAACCTATGTTCGTCTATTGAAAACTCGCATCTCTTGTCGGTTCCAAATTAAAGAAACTACCTACTCCGCAAAATTTTCGTTAAGAGTTAAAAAATATCATTTTTTTTGGATTAATTTCAGTATAGTTGATGAGATTTACTCTTAATTTTATTTTAATTATTGACTTTTAAAACGTCTTATAATTTGTCTCTAAAGATTCATTTTATTTCAGTTTCGGTCTTTCTATTGACTATGTATTAAATATTTAATAATTTGTGAAAATTAAAAACCAAAATTAGAAACATAAGTTTAAGGATTAAAATAGTGCAAAAAACCAAAATTAGTTTCTACAAATAGCACCAAAACTTTAATTATTTCTAATTTTTAATTTACACATATTAGTCAAATATTTAACGCTTAATTGACGAAAAGACCAAAATTAAAATAGAATAAAACTTCAAGTACTAAATATGGGACGTTTTAAAAGTCATGTATTAAAGTGGAATTGAAGGTAAACCTAATTGATTATTTGTGGAATTAACCTTTTTTCAACCACTAACTCTATGTAAATGTTAGGGTAAATTTTACTAATTCTCCTTAAACTATTTCACTTGTGTCAAACATGCTCTCTTGAACCTTGAAATGTAGTCATTGTTCCCCCCGATATTTCATATATCTCCCAATTCCCTCCGCTCGAGTGACACACGGAGAAAGCTAAATCGATCAATCTCTTTAACCTCTTAACTAACCCAATTGAATTCATGTCGGTTCTCCACCTTTTTCCTTCATGTTTTCTTATTTTTAAGCAACTACTTGAAGGAAAAAGTACATATAAAATTTAGCGTCTAAGTAATTTATTTAGCGTGAAAGGCATTTATTAACCCTAACTATTGCACCTAAACTTAAATCATGTGACAACTCCACAATTTCGTCCAAAAAATAGCCTATTTCAAAGTTGAGGGGGTAAATATGAAGAAATATTATAGATCAGTGGACACAATATGTATATTTTAAAGTTCGGAGAGCATTTTGACACAACACAAGTGATATCAAACAGTGTGATAATAGGACCATTAATAGTGTATTTTCATTTGTACTCAAATGTATAATGTCATTTCAAATACTAAATCTGTTTTTTGATATAATTATTACGTTCTAAAAGTTGTGAAAGTAAACTTTTGCAAGTGCTACAATGATTAAATGAAAAATAAATATATCAATCAGTAGCAATTAAATATCAAATTTATTAAATCTATACTCTATGGCAAATTGTCACTAATGTAAGACATGACAAACTTAGCACAAAAAATACAATTGTGTTGAAGAGTATTTTTTAATTCAAATGCTAGAATTTAGTATTGACATTAATAAGAATTCTAAGTATCACCCAATTAAAGTCATCACGGCGTTGATGAGACTAGGAGTGTTTACGGAATCCATAAATCTAATTGATCCGTGAAATCCAATCTAATCTGAAGTTTTGAATCGGATTGAAAATGGTTTTAGATCGGGCACATATTGAGATTTTTCCAATTTGAAAGTTTTGGATTGGATTAGGATTGAGCGCTTTCTAATCCATGAAATCCGTGAATCTGAAACCATATATATGTATACATATATATGATTTTTATAATTATATATATATAAGAATTTTTATAAGTTATTTAAAAAAAAATCCAATATATACGTAGTGGTCCATATCTGATATCCCTACTACAAAGCCCATGTCTAATATCTCTAGTCCCTACTATAAAACTCAGCCCATTATGAAACCCTATTTATTTCATGTTGTGTTTATTTTGTATGGATGTTTATTAATTTATATTTTTAAAGGTCGGAATGTTGGGAATGGTGTCCTAGAAGCATGAGATGTAATAGGATATTTATTATTTATTTAATAAAAGAGTTTATTCATTATTTTATGTGCATATATTTATGAATATTTTATGAATATCAATGAAAATTTCATGATTATTTATGTGACCTTAAACATTGTATATAAGTGTTATATATGAGAGGATAATGTTTAAGGATAATAATAAAAAAATAATGTTCATAATGAATTTAATTAAAGTTCGGAATCTTTAATTAAAACATTATTAATACATGTCATTCCCATTTAGAATGGAACGATGTTATCCGCACTATTAATATGGTGAGATATTGAATGAGTGTATTTCGCATAATGAGATTATGTGGAACAAGGACATAGACACACTATGACTTTCTAATAATTTTTGTTAAGTATAGAAATTCTAATTGAGTCTACCAATGGTTATATATGGAATGATCTTAATCCTGAGTTCTTAACAGACTCCTATTTATGGATTTGTGTTTTTTGATTTACTCGGTACGGATTCTAAGATCCTGAATCCTATTTCTTGTATTTTAGAGACATGATGAAGTAGGTAGCCGGGAATGTTATTATACGAGATGAAATCCATTCCTTCTTGAGAAAGAAGTAGATAAATAATTCTCTTGAGAGTTGATTCGGTACTTGGACCAGTAGGAGCTTCGATTCATGAATGTGTTTTATGAATCACTGTCCATTAGAGAATCAATGGTACTCAAGGATAAAGATATAATTAGAGAGGTTAACGGATTTTATCTAGCTCTAATTATGAATTATTTATGGAGGATTGATCTATATGCAATGACTATATCAAATGGACACTTCACAGTTTATAAGTAATTTATATCTATAATGTCAAGAGTGTAATTCCAAGTTTATAGTAGAGTAACTATTGGAATTAATATAATTAATTAATTAATTAAAGTGTTTAATTGATTATTAATTTTTTTAGAGCTCGGGATTATAGGTCCATTAGTTCCCGCGTCGTCCTAGTAATTCTACCAGACACAAAGGGCAAAATGGGAATTTTAGAATTACAGAATTTTAAAATTAAACACTAAAAAATAATTAAATTAATTATTATTTAAATAATGAGATTATTTAAATTTGAATTTGAACACATCTATATTTATTCATTTAAACTTATTTGATAAGTTGTTCAATTTAGAATTCAAATTAATTTAAGTTTGCCTTAAATTGAAATTTGAATTTGAGTCAAAATTGGACTACAGGATAAATGATGATTTTCTCTTCCTTCCCTATCTAATATTGGCGCCTACACAGGGATGAGAATCCTCTATCTTGGCCGGCTATATTGGATAAAGGAAAAGAGGATATTTTGTTCCAAATTCAAATAGAAGATAATTAACAAGTTTTTTTTTTTTGAGATAGAGATTGGATTCATTCTAGAAATTTGACTTTTACTTTATAAATAAGAGAATAATAGAAAATTACATAAGACAATTTTTGAAATAATTTTTGCCCTAATTTGAATACGGTGGCCGAAATTATTCTTATAGAGTGAGAGGAAAAATTTTTCTTTAAAAATTCCACATCGTGCATGCGTTGATGTTTGTGAAAATTCGAGTGTTTATTCTAACCCGTTTTGTCTCATGTGTGCCCACACACACGTCTTCGTGGATTCTAGGAATTGACGTGGAAGACATTGATTTTCTAAACACAAAGCTTTGGAGCAAGGATTGTTCGAGGTCAAAGAACTCAAGTTATCATCCTAATCGGCCGCCGGGTATTATTCGTAATTGAGTTCTTAATAAATAAATTATTGTGATTAATTTATTCGTGCATAAATTAATATAGTCTATAGAGTATCTCAAAGGTTTTATGAAAATTTTTGTTATACACGATCCGCCTTCCCCACGCTTCCGCATCCGAATTCGATTCGGTAACCAACACGGAATTTGTGAGTCCAATCCGCAAAATTCGATAGTTTTGGATTGGATTGAATCCAATCCGAAAAAGATTTTGGATCAGATATGGATTGAAATTTTCCCAATCCGCAATTCTGGATCGGATTACAGATTAGCCTTTATCTGCGAATTTGAATATGTGAACACTCCTAGATGAGACTCTTCACCACGACAACGAGATAGAAAGGTAAACGAGAAAATTCAAATAATTAAATATAAAACATTAAACTTTGATATTGTATAAACTTGTATTAAAATTTTAATTTATTTTTTTTAAACCCATTTGTTACCTATATCTTTCAAGAGGGACTCAAGTCACCTTTTTAATCTTTTAGTGTTTCAATTAGTGTTTAATAAATTAAATTATGGCACGTAATTTAATAAAACTAAATATCAAAAAGAGTTAGTTCAGAGATATTTTAAATTGTTTGAATGACATGACACAATCTAATTGATTAAACTCTATTGTAGATATTGAAATTAGACAACTGATTTGAATCTTTTCGAGCAAAAATAAAAGAAAGAGATAAAATCACTTTAGTACTTTGTGTTATAGCGAAACATGCTTTTAGTATCCTATATTTTTTGATAATATTAAAGCAGTGCCTCGATGTTTTCAAAAACATCTTATTGGTACCCTGAAGCTGATTTTTGATACGTAAAATGACTTTAATATCCTTTTATTTAATTAATAAAAAATTAATTGATATGGGAAAAAAAGTTCATGAGCTTTTTTATTTTGTTATTTTCTTTTAAATATTTAAATATTTTCAAATATTTTCAATTTTTTTTTTAAAATACTGATTTTTATTTAATTGATAAGAATTGTAGTTTAAACACTATATGTCTAAAAAATTAACTTCACGATAGTAAAAAGATATTTTTAAAAATGTTGAGATACCATTTTAATAATAATCTAACAATATATAAAAGAACTAAAGCTCTTCTTTGTAGGGCTGTCACGTGGCGGCTCCTCTACTTACATCCATTTTTTATTTATTTTTTCTTTTCTTATCTTTATATTTTGTGAATTTTTTCATTTAATTTTTTATGTGTTTTTTAAAAATATATTGTTCCTCACTTTATTACAATAAGAGTAATTTTTTCACATGTATTCTTATTTTATTCTTAGTTAGTTAAAATAATTTTCTTTAAATATGTATCTACTTAATTTTTTTTCATGAATTATTATCTTTATACATATTTTTTAAAAATAAATTCAAAAATTATTAAATAATTATATAAATAAATTTCTCATTTATTGATAAATAATAAATTCTTTATGTATTATACAAAACTAATAATAATAAAAAACCGACACGGGGAAATCCCTGGTGGGGACTAGGAACTTCCGCAAACTTCAAGCGAAAAAAAAAAAATGAGGAGGGAACTTCCACAAACCAAGCAAACAATGCACCAACTTAATACGCCGTCGTTTTGGAACTTTCCTTCCAATTCCCAAATCCCAATCAACTGCATTATACTTTTCCGTCTTCCACAGTTCCACTTACCCGGGAAAACATTTTCCTCCCATTTTTCTTTCTCCCAAAAGGAATCCCCAAACTCACTCCTCCGATGGAAATGGATTCCCTCCCCAACGGCAACAGCGCCGCCACGAACCCGAGCTCGGCGCTGCCGAACCCCGCTGCCGCGGCAGCTCCGCCATCGTCGAAGCTGAACCAATTGGCGGAGTCGCTGAAGTTGGAGCACCAGTTCCTAAGAGTCCCCTTCGAGCACTACAAGAAGACGATCCGAGCCAACCACCGCGTCGTGGAGAAGGAGATGTCCGCCGTCGTCTCCGGCCTCGCCGAAGCCGCCGACCGTGACGGCTTGTCGCGCGACGACGCCGTCAACCATCTCACCTCCCTCGTTTCCAGGTTGCAAGGGCTTAAACGAAAGGTATCGGGGGAAAAAAAATTGTTTTCTTGTTTGGTTGGGGCGAGACTTTGGATTGACTTTCTTTTTGTTTAATGGCTTAGAGGATAGGGATTTGATTTGGATATGATGAATTAGCTTGGGAATGATCAAGATTCAATTATGTAATTTAGTGGAGAGAAATTTCGATTCTTGATTTTGTGAATGATCAAAATGTTATATTATATCGATCTGATTTGATTGGGAGCAAAAGAAATTGAAAGTTAATTATTATAATGTGGGATTTAATAGAAACTGAATTTGCTACTTCACGTTCAAAAATTATGAGGAAAATGTGGTCAAAGGCACGTGTAATTGATATGTTTTTTGGTCTATGCGTTGTTTAGTTGGAAGAGGGGAGTCGAGTGGAGAACTTGCAGGCGCAGAGATGCCGAGCTCGGCTCGATCACTTAGAGTCAGCGGATGCAGAGAACTTGTCTGAATGGAACAATGTGCGAGTGAAGCGCATTCTCGTGGACTACATGTTGCGCATGTCGTATTATGATACTGCGGTGAAGTTGGCAGAAAGCAGCAATATCCATGTACTCTTTCTTGTTTTACGAGGTTATAGTCGACGATGCATTTACATTATTTTAATTTGGAGGACTCCATCCCAGCCTACATTTTTGTGTCTTGCCCTTTATTGTGAATTTGTGTCATACAAATTAAATGCACAATAGAAGAATGTTACATTAGAAATATGGTGAATTTGGATTTGGAAAACAATTTTATTCTTCAGTGCCGTTCAATAGTCCAACTGGATTGTCAAACATAAGGAATATGGGTACATTTATGGACAAAAACAACTGTATTAGTTTCTTATTTATCATCAGTACAAATCTTTATTTTATTATTTACGTGATAGGATCTTGTTGATATCGATGTATTCCAAGAAGCAAAGAAGGTTATTGAGGCTCTTCAAAATAAGGAGGTAGCTCCTGCACTAGCATGGTGTGCAGATAACAAGTCAAGGTTGAAGAAATCCAAGGTACACACACTTCTTCTCAAGTGTTTTCTGCAGCATGACAGAGCTTATGGATAGTAGATAGGCTTTGAATATTGACTTTAACTGCTAATTTAGATTCAAATCAGCTTTTTTCCACTGTACGAGTACAGGATAAATTTCTCACAACTTCTTTGCTATAGCCGGTGATGTTTTATCGCACAAAACGTTTTAAGTCATGATGATTGTTATTCGTGATGTTTGGCTTTGTCTAGGAGTTGTTTCTTTAGTTGTTCTTCAGTTTCTTTCACACTTTTTTTCTATCAAAAGATTGTATTGACAGTCGCTACAATATAATGCCACCACTCTGTGTGAACCACTTACCACTCTATATTTGAATTGTTCTGTGCCTCGATTATACTCGTGAGATCTGTGTGTTCAAATCTGACTAAGAAACCCATTTTAAAATAATATGCTACTTGTCTATACCAGTGAACTGGACATTTGAGTTATATTTTCTGATAAAATGGTTTCTTAACATATACAATTTCCGCACTAAAACTAGATTGAGATAGAAAATTCCTAGCTAACTCTTCACACTTTCTACAATTGTAGTTCAAACAAAGTTGTGCTAGCATGTCTAATGACTGCTGCTTTATTTATTTTCTTGTTTTTTATGGCAGAGCAAATTCGAATTTCAGTTAAGACTTCAGGAGTTCATAGAGTTGGTACGAGCAGAAAATAACTTGCGAGCTATTACATATGCTCGAAAGTACCTTGCGCCTTGGGGTTCTACCCATATGAAAGAATTGCAGAGGGTCTTTGTAACACTAGCTTATAAGAGCACTACTGAATGTTCGACATACAAGGTGACCTGCGTACTTTTCTCTGAATAATGCTTTCATGCATTTCATTTTACATCAACGGGTGTGCTTTTTTTGTGATTCAACGGCCCTATCAATTTTTTTGTGTCCTATTTTTGCTTGTATTTGTAGATTAATTGTCCTGCTTGATTTTAGTGGAGACACAAATGAAAATGGTGATAAAGGTGACAAAAAAAAAGTTAAATTAAATTAAAAGGCTAACAAAACCAAAATCTCTCTCTCTCTCCCCCTTGCCTTTCCTCTTCTCCTTCCCTTGGAATTAGATCAGCCCCTTTGTTGGTAGGACCTTGGGAATTGATAAATCATATATAGTTTAATTTTGGAAAATCAGAGAAAATATTCTCTGAGATTATGGCCGGATATTGACTATGAATAGGCTGATTGTGTATAGCTGTGAATATCAGTAAACTTAGAAAGAATCTTTGTATTCTAGAAAAGTAGACTGATTAGCTTATTTCAGGAAAGTAGAATAGCTAGCTTGTTTCTTTTTCTTTGTTTGTTTCCTTAAATCAGTGATTGTGTTTTCTGATTTAATGGAATTGTATTACCTATAAAGTGTATGATACAGTAAAATCAAAAGTATTCCCCTCACACATTTTTTGTCTCTGCCTTTCTCTTCCGTGTTCATTGTTTTGTGATTTGGTATCAGAGCAAACCTATTTTCTTCCTGATTCTTCTTCTTCTCCTTTTGTTCTCCTCTTCCTTACCCAATTTCAGAAACCTCTGCTGAGTCAAGCGGGAAACCCACCTCAGAAGTCACCCTTGTTGGGAAACCCACCTCAGAAGTCACCCCTGTTTCAAACCCTTCAAAAACCATAGGAACAACGGAGTCTCATTCTGTTCAAATTAACACCATCCGTTTAAATGGTGATAATTTCCTACATTGGTTGCAGTCGGTTCGTATGTATATCCGAGGTCGTGGGAAGATTGGATACTTGACTGGGGAAAAGAAGGCTCGTGCGGAGAGTGATCCGGCATATGCTACTTGGGATGCCGAGAATTCCATGGTGATGACATGGTTGGTTAATTCGATGGAGGAAGACATTAGCTCTAATTATATGTGCTATCCAACTGCACAAGAGCTATGGGAGAATGTGAATCCGATGTATTCGGATTTGGGGAACCAATCCCAAATTTTTGAGTTGACTCTAAAACTCGGTGAAATAAGACAAGGGGAGGATAGTGTCACCAAGTATTTCAACTCTTTGAAACAGATATGGCAGGACCTTGATTTGTTCAACACCTACGAATGGAAGTCTGCTGAAGATGGTCTCCATCACAAGAAGGTGGTGGAGGATAACCGAATTTGTAAGTTTCTTGCAGGTCTCAACATTGAGTTTGATGAAGTAAGGGGGAGAATCATAGGACGACAACCACTACCTCCTATTGGTGAAGTATTCTCAGAATCTAGGAGGGAGGAGAGTCGGAGGAATGTGATGTTGGGAAAGAAGGGGCCGAATGCTGTGGTGGAAGAATCTACTCTTGCTGCCGTGGGAGAAAACTCAAGCAGGCTGTACCAGCGGAGAACAGGTGATCAACAAAGAAGTGAGGATGGCTGGAGCAAAAATCCGACATACCAACGTCAAGACAAATCTCGGCTTTGGTGTGATTATTGCAGCAAGCCCCGTCACACTCGGGAGACATGTTGGAAGATTCATGGCAAACCGACAAATTTGAAGGGATCCAAGCTCGGTGAGAAAACTGGATATGCAGCCTTCAACACAAAAGAAATTGATTCCGGTCCCTTCACAAAAGAACAAATGGAGCTTCTCCTTGCACTGCTAAAATCCAATTCCTCTTATGGTACTCCTACTGTGTCTATTGCACACACAGGTAAAGAAATTAATAGAATCAATGCTCTATTGTGTTTCTCAGCACCATGGATAATAGATTCTGGTGCTTCTGACCATATGGCTAATTCCTCAAATTTGTTCAATTCTTATATCCCATGTTCTGGTAATGAAAAAGTTAGAATTGTAGATGGGACTTTCTCGTCGATTGTAGGTAAAGGATTAATAAAAATCTCAGAAAGAATAGATCTTAAATTTGTTCTTCATGTTTCAAAACTTTCCTGCAACCTCTTGTCTGTCAACAAATTATCTAAAGACGCTGTTATAACTCTTGGGTAGAACCTAAAAGCTAGCTTGTAGGGAGATGGTGCCCAAGTGGTTATAAACTCACATGTTAAGCCCATACTTTAGTAATGTGAGACTCAACTAGGATCTTAACATACTACCACGCTTCTGACACCGACGTCCACGGCGACCCACTCTGGATGACCCACTCTAGATGACCCGCTCTGGTTTTTTCAGGTCGCCCCTTCCGCAATGTGGGCCTGAGGAGGGGCATGCTCTGATACCAATTGTTATAACCTTTGGGTAGAACTCATCCCCAAAAGCTGGCTTGTAGGGAGATGGTGCCCAAGTGGTTATAAACCCATATGCTAAGCCCATACTTTAACAATGTGGGACTCAACCAGGATCTTAACAGACGCTAACTGTCAAATTACATTCTTTGAATCCCACTATGTTTTTCAGGACCGGAGCTTAGGGATGACGATTGGCAGTGCTAGGATGGTAAATGGCCTTTACTATTTTGAAGACAATCTACCTAGGAATAAAAAGGCTCATGGTTTGAGTTGTGTTAGGTCTTCTTCTATTTTTGAACAAATTATGATTTGGCATTACCGGTTGGGTCATCCCAGTTTTTTCTATCTAAAACACTTGTTTCCATTATTGTTTAAGAACATTGATCCTATGGTTTTTCATTGTGAAAGTTGTTTATTGGCTAAAAGTCATCGTAAAGCTTATGTTCCAAGGTTTTATCATCCCTCAAAACCTTTTTATCTCTTTCATAGTGATGTTTGGGGACCTTCTAAGATTACTACTATTTCACAAAAAAGATGGTTTGTAACATTCATAGATGATCATACCCGTCTTTGTTGGATTTTTTTGATGAAAGAAAAAAGTGAAGTTGAAAGTGTCTTCAAAAATTTTTACAAAATGATTGAAAATCAATTTCAAACAAAAATAAGCATACTACGTTCTGACAATGGAACAGAATATTTCAATAGCATGTTGGATGCTTTTCTAAAAGAACAAGGAAATTTTCATCAATCCTCATGTCATGACCCCACAACAAAATGGAATAGCCGAGAGAAAAAATAAGCATTTTCATGAAGTTGCTCGCGCTATAATGTTTTACATGAATGTCCTAAAATATCTTTGGGGAGGTGCAATTTTAACTTTTGCATACCTTATCAATAGGATGCCTACACGGGTTTTACAATACCTCACCCCATTAGAATGTCTAAAAAAGGGGTTTCCAGATTCAAGACTAAACAATGATTTACCCCTTAAAAGTCTTTGGGTGCACGGCTTATGTCCATATACCTAAGAGATCTAGGTCTAAATTAGATCCTAGGGCTGAGAAATGTGTCTTTGTTGGGTATGCCCCAAATCAAAAGGGGTATAGGTGTTTTAATCCTCAAACAAAAAAGTACCATGTGACCATGGATGTTACCTTTTTAGAGAACATTCCTTATTTCACTGAAAATTCCCTTCAGGGGGAGGAAATGGAAAGGAATGAAGACAATTTTTAGGAGAAATATGAACCATTACCTCACATGATTTTTGATACTCTTAATCCTATTCTTGATTATGAGAAGACCCAAACGGTTAATGATGAATATGCCGTTGTTCCAATAGAAAAAGAAACACTACTAAAGGATCAAAATTAGAATCCTAAACCTGATCTTCTAGTTTATTCTAGGAAGAAAGTCTTCGGGAGAAATAAGGGGCATTCTACCATCCCTGCACCAAATCAATCGAAATCATTGAGTACTGGAACTGAGTCCGTTACTAGTAACCTTTCTTCTATTCCTACTTTAACACCCAATCCAGATTATGATATTCCAATAGCTCTCAGAAAAGGAACCCGAGCCTGTACTAAACATCCTATCTCTAAATATGTTTCCTACGAAAAGCTTTCCAAAACTCATAGAGCATTTACTTCTAATATTTCTAAACTTGTTGTGCCAAGAAACATTCAGGAAGTATTAGATGATCCAAATTGGAAGGTAGCAGTGATTAAGGAGATGGATGCTTTGAGGAAGAATGAGACTTGGGAGATAGTTGACTTGCCGAGTGAGAAGAAAACATTTGGGTGTAAGTGGGTCTTTACAGTCAAGTGTAAGGCTGATGGTAGTATAGAGAGGTACAGGGCTAGACTTGTTGCAAAGAGTTTTACACAAGCCTATGGGATATCAAGAGACTTTCGCCCCAGTTGCTAAAATCAACTCTATTCGTATCCTCTTGTCTCGTGCTGTTAACTCTAATTGGCTGCTACACCAACTAGACGTGAAGAACGCATTTCTCAATGGTGAACTCGAAGAAGAAGTTTTTATGAGTCCTCCACCAGGTTTCGAAAAAGGGTTCAGAGAAGGTAAAGCCTGCCGCTTAAAAAGATCTCTATATGGGCTTAAGTAGTCTCCAAGGGCTTGGTTTGAACGCTTTGGTGAAGCAGTGAAGCGGCATGGATATTGCCAAAGTCAGGCAGACGCCACCATGTTCTACAAAAGATCAAAAGAGGGAAATATAGGTATTTTGATTGTTTATGTTGATAATATAATCCTGACAGGTAATGATAGCTTGGAACTAAAAATCTAAAGGAAAGATTGGCAGTTGAATTTGAGATTAAAGATCTGGGGCCATTAAAGTATTTTCTTGGAATGGAGTTTGCAAGATCCAAGGAGGGCATATTTGTCAACCAACGCAAGAATGTTATAGATCTTCTTAAAGAGACAGGGATGCTCGGTTATAAGAGTGCTGACACACCGATAGAACCCAACATGAAACTACAACCTGCTGAAGCTGATAAGGTGATCAATAGGGAACGTTATCAAAGATTAGTTGGAAGATTGATTTACTTGTCACATATAAGGCTAGATATTGCCTTTGTGGTTAGCATGGTGAGCCAATTTATGCATTTGCCCGGCAGAACACTTTGAAGCAGTATACAGGATCCTGAGGTATCTAAAAGGAATTATAGGAAAAGGGCTGCTTTTCAAGAACCGGGGACATCTACAGATTGAGGCTTACACTGATGCAGATTGGGCTGGGGTATAACTGATAGGAGATCTACTTCTAGATATTGTTGTTTTATTGGTGGAAATTTGGTTACATGGCGAAGTAAGAAGCAAAGTGTAGTAGCTAGGAGTAGTGCTGAAGCAGAATTTAGAGTAGTAGCCCATGGTATATGTGAGATAATTTGGATTAGAAATTTATTGGAAGAGTTGAAGGCTCCTACTTCACTACCGATGAAACTATACTGTGATAATAAGGCTGCAATCTCAATCGCTCATAATCTGGTAATGCATGATCGGACTAAACATGTAGAGGTTGACAAACACTTCATTAAGGAGAGAATTGATAGTGGACAAGTTTGTATGATTTATGTCCCGACAGTTGAGCAAGTTGTTGATGTGTTCATGAAAGGGTTGTATTCAAAGCAGTTTGAAATGATGACGAGCAAGCTGGCTATGGAAGATATTTTTAAACCAGTTTGAGGGGGAGTGTGGAAAATCAGAGAAAATATTCTCTGAGATTATGGCCTGATATTGACTATGAATAGGCTGATTGTGTATAGCTGTGAATATCTGTAAACTTAGAAAGAATATTTGTATTCTAGGAAAATTGACTGATTAGCTCTATTTCAGGAAAGTAGAATAACTAGCTTGTTTCATTTTCTTTGTTTCCTTAAATCAGTGATTGTGTTTTTTGATTTAATGGAATTGTATTACCTATAAAGTGTATGATACAGTAAAATCAAAAGTATTCCCCTCACACATTTTTTGTCTCTGTCTTTCTCTTCCGTGTTCACTGTTTTCTGATTTTAATTCACCTTATTATATGTAAGATAATAACAATTTTATTAGTTATAAGGCAACTCATGTTGCTAGACGGTTTTTGTTAGGTATCTAATAGTTAGTAGTTGTTTTTAGTAGTATAAATAGGGGTCTAGTGGCTAATGAGGGGGCATGATGAGATTTGTAGAGAGTGTCTAGTGCTGTGCACTATCTTTGAGGTCGGGGGCCCTCGAAACCGCTCATCTATCCTGTAATTTTCTATTTTAGTGTTGTTAATGAAGTTCAGATTTCTGGGTTCCTATCAATGGTATTAGAGCATCTATGATCTGGAACTCTTTGAGTTGAGAGAGAAACTTAGGGTTGCTCTAAGAGCTAATCTCAAGTTTTTGGAGGTGAGCCCGTGCGTTCAGAACCTAAGGTTTCGTTGTTTGAGTTGAGAGAAAAACTTAGGGCTTCACTATTTGGAGGTGAGCCAGCGCGACCAGATCTGGAGTGTCAACATCGACGAACGTCGCCGGAGCGAATACTACCAGAACCTGAATCGCGGGATGATGTCGAAGACTTGAGTGATTTTTCGCGATCTAGTGCTAGATAGGCCAGATCTGAGGCGAACGGCGGCGGATTTGCAACGGAATCTGAGAACACTAACGCGATTGGCGTTGATATTTGAAGATCCAGCAAGATAACAGTTAGATCTGGGAATTTTGGTGCGAGTTGCGGCGCGGCAGAGGTTGTGCTCGGCGATTTGGCTGCGGTTTGGACCGGGCCTCGCGATTCCGGCGTGAAAGGGGTTGATTCTGGTGCTACAGAGGTAGATTCCGGCGGGGTTGTAGTGGAGTCCCGCAATTTCAACTCCATTAAGGCTGATCTCGGTGAGATTGATGTTGTTTTCAGAAATTCCGGCCGGATTTGGAGCGGCTCTCATGATTCCGACGCTGTTGAGGTTGTTTCCGGCGAGGTTGGGGCTGATTCTGGCAAAGGTAAGGCTGGGTCTTGGAATTCCGGAACTATTAGGTCCATCGTTGGCAATTTGTGTGTTGTGTTCCCAAAAATGTGGACTGGGTCTCGTGATTCAAGAGTGGGCTGGGTCAATTTTGGCATGGTTGGGGTCGCACCTCGTAATTACAACAATATTGGGCCTAGTTCTGGTGCAATGGTGGTTGGGCCTCAAAATTCCAACACGTTGTTTAGGACTGGGTATAGTAAGTCTGTGGCTGGGTAGGAAGCAATTGGTGACAGAGAGGTTGAAAGGATGAAGACCTGGTTAATTGAGTAGGAAACTTCTTTGTTAATGATGGATATGTCAAAAGCTTTTATGGTCATTGATAAGCTTGATTAGTGGGGCTCCAACTGAATTGGTGGACTTTGTGGTTGCTTTCCAAGATACAAAGAAGATGGAGAAGAAAGTAATTGATTGGCTCCAATTTGAAGACGTGACTTACATGGACAACAACAATTTGGAGACTCAAATCAAGGAAGTAACAAAGCCTTTTGTTCTTAATCATTTAGATGCTATTTTTCAATTTTATTTCTTGGTTTTCACCTTGAGGACAAGGTGATTCTTTGGGGCGGGGGTAATGTTAGGAACCTGATAGTTAGTAGTTGTTTTTAGTAGTATAAATAGGGGTCTAGTGGCTATAGAGGGGGCATGATGAGATTTGTTGAGAGTGTCTAGTGTTGTGCACTATCTTGGAGGTCGAGGGTCCTCGAAACCGCTCGTCTATCGTGTAATTTTCTATTTTTAGTGTTGTTAATGAAGTTCAGATTTCCGAGTTCCTATCAATTTTGCTTTGTGTTAGCAGTTTGTTTGGCATCAGTTGCATTTTTATCTTTTGCGGATTTCTATTTATTCGTTATATGTATAGGTTATTTAGTCTTTCTAGCATCTGTTGTAGAACTTTACCAAACTTTACCATATCTTATATGTTATTTAATGTCCATGACTAAGGGTGTGCTCTAGATGACATTGGTTTTTTAGTATTTTGTTAGCTATTAATAATTTGTAGACAGTTTTTATATTTATCCTGACTCAACCAGTAAACCTTCTGCACGGGGTGTTGAGTTATCTTATTTCAATTTGGAAGCTGATAATTCAGTGGTTGATCTCCTCCAGGTTTTATTTGAACCAAAGCAATGGGATTACCTTGTGGACCAATTCAAACAGGAATTCTGCAAATTATATGGCATGACGCTTGAACCTTTGCTAAATATATATTTACAAGCAGGGTTGTCTGCTCTGAAAACGTCGTATCCTTACCAAGTCATACATGGCCATGCTATATGTTATTGCTTGTTTTACATCGTTTACTTGTTAATTAGGGTTCTTGATTTGAAGTCTTAAAATGCATGCGAGTCTTTAGAATAATCTAACACTATGGTTTTCGTGCATGATTTGAAAGATAAGACACTTGAAGAATGTATCTGTGTGGAAATTATACCCATAAAACCCTGTGTCCCCCCGCCCCCCTGTATTATAGAAAAAACAGACCCAGCACCCCTGAAGAAATTAAATGTTTTAGAATACCAAGATCACCCTTCCTAATTTTTATTAAATACAACTCGAAACATTAATAAACCAAAATGTTAAATAAAATCAAACTCTCAAAATAATTGAAGTATTTCTTTGATTGGAATATTTATTTGAGCATTTTGAAAATTTTTTTATGAAAATTTTTAGTTAAATGATATCTAAAATTAACATTTAATATAGATTGGGAAGGGTAATCATGGCATTTTAAAACATTTAACTGCTTCAAGGGGTGTTTTGGGTTTGGTTTTATAAACCCTTTTAGGCATTTGCATAATAAGAGAGGCAAAAGTGGTATTTTGACAAAATATAGGGGGTGGTTTGGGTATCTTCCCTATGGGTATGGGAGCAATACTACAAAACATTTTGAATATTTTTTCTTTGCCAATTATTGTTCTTTTGGTTCGAAGTTTCCATCATAATGGATATGCAGTAAATTTTCACAACAAAGCATATAGTTTTGCAAATCAGTTATTATCCTTCATTTAAAGTCTCAGCGTTATAGTCTAAAATCCTGTTAGTCATTAGTGGCCGTGAAGTGGCTGACAAACCGCGCCTTGCCATTTGTTTTGTGTTCTTTCACTTTCTATGCAGCTGTTATGGGTTACTGTTAGTTCCTTCCAAATACCTTCTTTTGCCTTGACCTGACTCAGATATTGTTACGAAGATGATTGCACCAAGGAGGACCCACTGTCACAGGAGAATTTTCGAAAACTTGCCCTTTCATTACCCTTCTCCAAGCAGCATCACTCAAAGCTTGTATGCTACATAACTAAAGAATTAATGGACACAGAGAATCCACCGCAAGTCTTACCTAATGGCTACGTCTACAGTAGTAAGGTTAGGTTCGGAGTAGATCAGTATTGGATGAGTAAGATCTTAGTTTATTATTTTGATCTTAATTTATGTTCACTTTGGCAGGCTCTTGAAGAAATGGCTAAGAAGAACAATGGAAAAATTACTTGTCCGAGGACAGGTTTTGTCTGCAACTACAAAGATTTGGTGAAGGCGTACATATCATAAATCCTATATTTGACTTGTTACAGTAACTTGAGGTAATAAGCCTTTTGCGCATGGCTCTTTAATGATTGGAGTCCTTCTGTGCTCTGTGGATACATCTTTGTTGTTGGACACGCCTGAAATTCCCATTTTACGGACCTGCATCAAACAATTGTCCTCGTACCTTGTGATAATCTTGAAAACTTCTTGTAAATATTCTCACAATTGTTTTACTAGTGTTACTGTCTGCCTTTACTTCTATCATGAATTGTACTTTTGCGCATAATTTGCAATCCACTGAAATTTATGGTATTTTTCACTGGGAGCTTTGGCACCAATTGGCATTATGAAATTAATAATTAGTTAGCCTAGTCACACTGACACATGCGTACACATACAAGAATCGTCGATGCTTGGCTGGGTACGAATGACTTAAATGCTTCTGCTGATCACAGTAGTCAGCAGCGAATCTGAAAGCAAGCTTACTTTTATGTTATGCAATTATTAAACCGGCGCATCTTAGCTTCTTTTTTTATTTTTATTATTTTTATTTATTTTTTATTTTTTTTAAATATATGTTTGGTATCATTTTTATTCTGTTTTGTTTTGAGGAGGGAAAACACAGAGATATTTGGTATCATTTTTTTAGTATATATTTGCTACCATTTTACTCTCAAATTCATGACAAGGGCGTTCTCATTAGTTGTTTTGATTTTTTTTTTTTAATTAACTTTAGTTATTCTGAATTTTGATTAGTCTTCAAGTTGCTCTGTTTTCGCTGATCTAAAAAATTACTTGTGAAAACATCTACCACAACCTTTTTAGAACCAAACATGAGTCTTTGAATTCTATCCTCTCTCAAATCAGTTTTTTAAGAATTCTTAAAAAGTTCAATCGAGAGTAAAGGAAGAAAGCGTATAAGTGAGTCAATTTTAAATGAATCTTTAGACCCCATTTATTTTCTCGATTTGAATTTAGAATTCAAATTTTATTATAGTAAATTTTTTTTAAAAACAGTCATATTTAATTTTATTAATACAGTAAAAAATTCTCACATAAAATCACATCTCAACTCAAATCAATGAACTAAAAGAACTCTTAATTCTTGCAGAACGAAAGGGCGCAAAAACCTTGATTTATGAAGACTCTGATTACTAATTCATCAAAAGGCCAAAGCGGGAAATAAAAGCCACAAAAATCTCGGCAATTCGTCTCAACCAACCACGAAAGGACTGCAGATAGATGAAAAATTTGTAGTCACAAACAGTGCTTACACAAAGTAGTCTTAAGAAAAATCTATCAAATGTTGCCAATAATATCCCATCCAAGTTTTAAAAAAGAAAATGCAATGAAGTTCTACGGTTTTTTCTTTTGTCCGAATAAAGCATGAAATGATACAGCATTTAAGCTGATTCACTGCCCCTTGGCGAACCATTATTATCATCATCCTCATCAATAGGGCTTCTGTCATCCCTGCGCACAGGACTGGGGCTACGGCTGCTGCCATCATCTCCAGCCGCCCTTGCGTATCTCCCGTTTCCATTGTCCCTGTCCGCATCATTAACGGGGCTTCGGCTTCGGCTTCGGCTCTGGCTCCGGCTCCGGCTCTTGCCTTTGGGACTAACACTATAATCCAACCTACGGTCACGAGGGGAAGGGCTTCCTCTCTCCTGTGGGCTTCTCTCATCTGGTGAGGCATTGCGCTTCCTTCCCTTCGATGGCGGAGGTGAACCCCTCTGCTGCTTAGGGCTCCGGCTGTCACGTGGGCTCCTTGATCTTCTCTCAACGCTCCGTCCTCTCTTAACGGGTGATCTCGATCGACTGCATAAAAATAAAGCTTTGGCAACTATTTCTCAAAAGCTTCTAAACTCTGATACGAGTTTTATAGCAATATATCTTTAAAGGATGATCTATTATAAAGGCTTGATTCACTTCTTGTAAACCGCCAGTTACAATGCAGCTACAAATGTAACATGAGCACAAAGGGGGGAAAATGACCAACCTGTAACTCCGTCCCCTGCTGTAACTACGACTGTGACTTCTGCCACGCCGTGGGCTTAGTGACCGTGATCGACTCCGTTCCCTTCTGCTTGAAAATCTTTACATCAGTAACCAACCACATAAACAAGGGTTTGTATTTTTGTATTTTTTTTTGTTTTGGGTTCTTTTAATAAGCTATAGACAGCATACTTTAGTTTCTTCGGACTATTCTGGCAATTCCTTTCTATATGACCCCTTTCCCCGCAGCGATAACACTTATTTTTCCAGTCCCCAGCTTTACAATCTCGAGCCCAGTGGCCATCAAGTCCACAATTGAAACAGCGGCCTGATCCAGGGGGAGGACCTCTGCCAAGATACTCACGAGATCCACCAGGTCCACGTGGTGCCTAAAAGAAAGCCAAATTACTGTCCATAAGTAAAAGATTATCTACAGCTTAAGATAGCTGTCGGCGTATATATTTCACTGATTGACAAAATTAACAAAAAGTAGGCAAGCAAAGTAACACCTAAAAAATTATTCTAAATCCAAAATTATTTTGAATCACATCGTATAACTTACTCCCTTAGCAACTTCCACAATGACACGGCTTCCATCAACATCTCGACCATTCAACGCATATCTTGCATCATCAGCATCTCGTGGATCACTAAACTCCTGTTTTTATGGGAAACATAAAGCGCAAAAAGAGCAAGATCAAAGTTGAAAAGCCTGTTGAGCCTGTCACCTCACAAGGAGAACATGCCTTAACAACAGTATGCCCTCTCAAGAATGTGTGCATGTACAATCACCAATAGAGAAAGATAAACAAGGGAAGGGGAAGAAGGTAAGGAACTACATACAACAAAGGCATAGTCTCGCTTCATATCCACATCACGTACTCTGCATAAATCGGGTCCACAAAAGTAAGGCCATCATGACACATGTATGAAAGGGATGATGGTACTTCGCCCCTCACAGATGAACTAAACACCACTTTGAGATTGTTGCCATTTCCATTAAAACACGCATTAACATTATAGAAAGACTCGCCAAATCCACCAATGAGATCCTCTCACCACAGACCTCCAGGTTTGGCAAAAGCCAAGAAACCTTCAACAAGATCATTCAAGTTAAACCATACGGACACTTGGAGGGGTGCAACATTCTCACGAGATACAAATTTCATTTTAAAATAAATCACAAAGAATGGATTGGCTAAGGAGACCTATACACACCTTGATAATGGACATGAACCAATGGCCATTATTCAGCAACAAAAGGTATAAGGACAGGTGAACCAAAGCATATAAAGCACATAAGTCATGTCTTCTGTTTGTGGAGTAGTTGTAGAGAAAATAAACAGGCCATTGTTCTTAATAGTTTCTAATTTGATGAAACAAGAACAAGGCTCCAATAACTTTAATGAAATGCAAAGAAGAAAAACAATACGTAGACGGTAGACCATATTTTTACAAATGAATTAGTAGGACCACTCTTATGCTAACAATCTTAGGAAAAGGTAACCAAGAGGGTGAAGATCATAGAAAGTCAAACGAATGGAGCTACCTTCCATATCTGCTAAACAGGTCCTCGAGATCACGTGATCTAGTTCGAGAAGACAAGTGACCGACATAGAGCCGCGTTCCACCGTAACGATCATCATACCGAGGCATCTCACCTACAATGATGAATTTCCAACGCAGACACCTTAAGTTCTGATACATACCAAAATGAACAAAAGCATTTTCATTTTTTCCCAAATGGGACTTTATAACATAATAATAATACGAATAAGAGAAACATCTAAGCGCTTTTGAAAGGAATGAACACGAAAGTCAGCACATGGAAATAGAACCAAAACCAATTGAAGAACTATAAACAACAAAACCAGGTCAACTGCTGGCCAAGATAGTATAAGAAAATTGCAAAACTCCTGAATACCTGTTATTCTACTAAAGATGAAAATTTATACGAGTACTAAATTTCTGCCGCGACATTATTATTATTCATAATAAAACACAAACACACGTGTTTGTTTGGTTCAGAAAGAACAATCCAGTTTCATGTTGTCGTTTCTAGTAAAAATAAAATATATTCCCTAGAAATCATGTTTAACTTTTACTTCTGGGTGGTTGTGGCAAAACACAATTCTGCGAACAAGCTATATTATGAAATTCTAGTTATTTATAATTGAAAAAAAAAAACTCAAGTCAAGGTAGACCAACGCTCAATAGATAATAGAATAGAACTCAAAACTCAAGTCAAAGTATGCCATTTTCTAATTCCATTTATTTCACACTTTATTACAATGCATCAACCGGAAAGCGATTCATAGTCAAGCCTTTCTCGCGGATTAAGTACACGATACCCAAAACATTTAGCAAATTGCACAGCCATTTAGATCCAATAAAGCCGATAACATCTGTAGCTCAAAATTGAAGGCAAATAGAGAAAATCAGCAAGAGAAAACCTAGAATTCACTGTAGTCTGTAGCTCATCGACCCAAAATAAACAGACTTCGATGTAGAGAGAGAGAGAGAGAGAGAGAGAGAGAGAGGAGGCGCACCTGAAGAAGAAGGAGACGACGACGATGAAAGGAAGTATCAAAACCTAGAGAGTAGAGAGTAGAGAGAGAGTGGTTTTTGATTCGGGTGGACAATTCTCTTATTAGGGCCCAAAAGGATAAGTCTGAAATGTGCTTTCTTAACTGCCCCTCAAGTCGTTACAAATTACACGTTATTTATCTTTACCCTCTCGTCTTTTCTAGGGCTTCTTATTACTCAAACCACCACTCAAATTTTGCTACACTATTTTATCTTATAAAAACTTAAGGTCTGTTCTTTTATGCTATATTTGGTAGAATGAAAAGAAAATAAGATAGAAAGAAAATATGAAAATGATAAAAAATAGTAATGATAGAAAAGAAATTAATTTTTTTTTATGTTGTTTGGTATGAGAAGATGAAAAGAAAATGAGCATACCTTTACTTGTTTGGTATTGGAAGTTAAATTGGGAGGAAAGAAAAAATCTTACTCGTAAATTACTTTTATACTCTTAAACTTTTTGCTTAGATTTTGATGGAGAAAATGGTAGTTTAGTAACTTTGCTCACTTTAATTCGTTGTCCTCATATGGCGGGGCCCACATGTATCATTTTTCACTCTATTTTCTCTTCCTTTCTCTTTTCTCTCCTACCAAATAACCTACATTTTCATTTTCCCTCCCAAAATCCCTCCACCTTCTTCATTCCTTCTACTTTTCTTTCCTACCAAACATACTCTTAGAGTGTGATTTGAATGTAGTTTTTGAGTTGAATTTGAGTTATAACTTGAGTTCAAATTGTAACTTGAGTTTGTATTTGGTTGTGTACATTTGAGTTATAGTTTGAGATAATAATCTTTTTTTGAGTTTGTGTTTGAGTGAGTCAAAACTTAAATTTGTATTTAGATAGTATTTTAATAAAAACTCAATGGTGATGAAAAATTTTAATAGGGTATATGAGTGGAGTTTTATTCGTCTTTTCGTTGTCAACGCATAGAAAAAAAAATCATCTCAATCAGGATTAAAACGGTTATAGCATTTTTAAGAATAAAAAAAATAATGTTCATTAATTTGAGTTCGAGTTGAAGGGGACACTTGAACTCGGGTTTTAGTCCCAAACTCGAGTTCAAACTCGAGTTCAAACTTAAAAGAACATGAACTTAAATAAAGTTAGAACTCGAGTTATCTTTTTTTGAGTTTTTTAGACAGCCGAACACACCCTTAAATTTGACTACAATATGTGCAAAACGTGAGTTATGATTACAATTGTAAAAAGAACACGCTAATTTTTTTTTTCTAGTTTTAAAATTATGTTAGAAATTTTTCCTCAGAAATGTTTGTTTTTATTATTTTTAGAAAATGACACTTTAACAAAGAATTATTTCAAAGTTACCTCATGTGATTGACACATGGCACTTTTCATTTATTTCTAGATTTTTTTTATAAAATTTTTGGATTGGATTGAATTGATTAGATCAAGACCTCGTTCATTTTACCGATTTAAATTTTTAATTTTAAATTTCTACAATTAAAAGCTCTAACAATATATCACATCTAATTTTTTTTATTATAATTAAAAACTTTTAGAAAATATTACATATCAATTCAAAAAAATCAGTGTAAAGCCAAAAATCAGTGATCTAACTTAAGATTTGGGTGTATAGTTCATGATCCATATTTGAAAATAACCGAACAGATTATTAAATCATGCCCAATATGTTTCCCTTTTATTTTATTTATTTATTTATTTTGTGTCAATTATAATACCCTTACCGGTAGTAGAAGTCAGATATCATCGGTGGCCAAAATCACTAATCAGGAGATCCACAAATATTTTGATTAGCAAAATGTAGCTAAATGCTAATGGATTGACACTAAAGCCAAATAACTTCGGGTTTATCCTTTTAGAGTAAAATTTTAAAAAAATTTAAATTAAGTTACAATTTTATTTAAGTTCATGTTCTTTTGTAAAATTTGAGTTTGAACTTGAATTTGAGATTAAAATTGAGTTCAAGTTTCCCCTTCAACTTAAGTTCTTATATTCGAACTCAAGTTAGTGAACAAAAATTTTTCTGTTCTTAAAAACGTCATAACTTTTTTGTTTTAATTCTGATTAAGATGATTTTTTTTATGTGTTCATAACGAAGAGATGAATAAAATCACACCCATATACGCTATTAAAATTTTTCATCACCATTGAGTTTTTATTAAAATACTATATAAATACAAATTTAAGTTTTGACCTACCCAAATACAAACTCAAATAGATTATTAATTCAAATCATAACTCAAATGTGCACATCCAAACACAAACTTAAGTTACAACTTTAACTCAAATTATAACTCAAATTCAACTCAAGATCTACACTCAAGTCACCATAACTCAAAAATGCAACCGAACAAGCCCTACAATATTTTTCTCTAGGGCCAACCTTTTATCTATCATTTTTATTTGAAAAAATAGAGAATTTCAAGTGTATAAGTCTGAATTTTTACTATTTACTCTTGATAAATATCTTTTTGTTAGTGTAATTATTTGACTAAAAAGATTATAAATCAAGAATAAATGGTAAAAATCCTAACTCATACACTTTTAAAAAATATTTGTCAAGATTACCCTTTTTATTTATTTGTTTTTGTTCCTTGTCTTATACTATAGTAATAAATCTTAGATGTCACTTTCCTTCATCTAACCAAAAGTCCAGCACCTAAGGGGTTGTTCTTTTACATTTTTGAGTTAAGGTGATTTGAGTGATAATTTTGAGTTGAGTTTGAGTTATAACTTGAGTTGAAGTTGTAACTTGAGTTTGTGTTTGAATGTGCACATTTGAGTTATGATTTGAATTGAGAATCTTTTTGAGTTTGTGTTTGGGTGGGTTAAAACTTAAATTTGTATTTAGATAGTATTTTAATAAAAACTTAATGGTGATAAAAAATTTTAATAGGGTATATAGGGGAGATTTTATTCGTCTTTTCGTTGTGAATGCATAGATAAAAAAATTATCTCAATCAGAATTAAAACGAAAAAATTATGACATTTTTAAGAATAGAAAAAATACTGTTCATCAATTTGAGTTCGAGTTTCTGAACTCGAGTTGAAAGGAAAACTTGAACTCAAGTTTAGCCCCAAACTCGAGTTTTAATTCGAGTTCAAACTCAAGTTCAAACTCAAATTTTATAAAAGAACGTGAACTTGAATAAAGTTGTAATTCGAATTCAAACTTTTTTTGAGTTTTGTTACAAAAGAACAACCCCTAAAATATTTATGGCCCTTGGACCCGTCTATGAGGATTACTTTATCCTGTTATAGTTTCACACTTGCGTATTCATCCTCCATTATTAGCAACAATTGATTAGAGTTTAAATTTAAGTTTTAACTTAAATTTGAAGTTAAAATTTGAGTTCAAATTCTTCTTTCAACTTAAGTTAATGAACAATATTTTTTTTATTCTTAAAAACGTCATAGCTTTTTCGTTTTAATTCCGATTGAGATAATTTTTTTTTTCTATGCATTCACAACGAAGAGACGAATAAAATCTCACCCATATACCCTATTAAAATTTTCCATCACCATTGAGTTTTTATTAAATTACTATCTAAATACAAATTCAAGTTTTGACCCATCTAAACACAAATTAAAATAGATTCTCAATTCAAATCATAACTCAAAATGTGCACATCCAAACACAAACTCAAATTAGAGTCTTAACTTAAAACCATACTCAAATACACCTTAACTCAAATTAAGATCTGAATTCAAATCACTCTAACTCAAAAAATGCAAATGAAATGTCCAGCGTTGAATGACTGTCATTATAAACCTTAGCTCATATTACACTATCCGTTCTTTGGCGGGGTCCAAAGGACTGCATATGAGCTAAGGTTGTGTTACATAATAAATAATTTGTATTTGACTATTGACTTTCTGATATTTAAAACTTTATTCAAGTCTTGATTTATTTTTGAGCTTATTCAAACATGCCACGTGCACCGACTTATTTACTTCTCAAGTGTTTTTATTATTTTATTTTTCAATTTCTAGTTGATTGAAACGTTATATATGTGCAATAAACTTTTTTTTTTTTTTTTTTTGCTGAATATATGTACAATTAACTTAAATGCCACCAACTAATTATATATTTTCTAATAAATCAGTTGTTATATCATTTTCTTCTCATTGTTTTATATATTTCTCTTAATCTCCTATATACGGTAACGGCCCTACACGACCTCGTCTAATTCTATTTTTTATGTGTACGTGATCTGTACTCACATTTATTTAATCGTGTCTACTACCAACTATTTCCAACTGGTTAGTCAACGATCCTATTTTGCCACTCAGCGGCACCGATCGGCTGGGGGACTTGGCATTGCCGATCAGAGTTGACCGTGATCACAACTATTCCAATCCAATGGCCGATGATGATCATAGTTCTGATAATTGTGTTCAGATTAGAGAGTTGGGGTGGCGGCTCTACCCTTGGATTCATCGCCAGGTGGAGTTTGCAGAGATGTTGAAGAAGAAGGGAGTTCAGGTAATTGGTCAGTTTACACAAGGAGATTGTCATGGGGTGGCGATGAGCGACCTAAGTAAAGGTGATTCATTGTTTGTTTTCCTTAAAGATTTCATAGAATGTAACTGAAAAAGGGAGAGAAGTATTAATGGCAAAAAAATGCTCTTGGATGTTCATATTCCACACATTCTTATGTTATGCTAAGTAGACGTATTGACTCCCATTAAAAATAAGGCTTGAAACTGAATTTTTAAAGAGCCTAATTTACACAAATATATATATATATATATATATATATATTCCAATCCCTAGTTTTCAACATGGTATCAGAGCCCTAGGACGATTCTCTAGGGTTTTTTACGCCGCCAAGTAGCCGCCAAGGAACCTTCGTCGCTGCCATCGCTGCCAAGTAGCCGCCAAGGAGCCTTCATCGCTGCCGTCGCTGCCAAGGAGCCTTCATTGTTGCTGTCGCTGCCAAGCAGCCTTCATTGCTGCCATCCATTACTGCATTATCCTCTCCTTGAAATCCAATTTTTTTTCCCTTCATTCAATTATGTCCGATTCCAAGGCCACCAACACTTCCGGGACTACTGAGGAGGCTTCTCTTGCCCAGAAAATGGGAGACTTGCAGAATATTAGATCCTCTTATCGACTCAACAGGAGAAACTATCTCAAGTGGTCCCAAGTTGTTCGCACGTACCTCAAAGGAAAGGGAAAAATCAGCCATCTGCTTGGGACTGGACCAGCAAAAATAGACCCCGGATTTATGGCATGGGATGAGGAGGATTCGATGATTATGTCATGGCTGTGGGATTCAATGGACCCAGCCATTAGTGATACTTGTATGTTTCTGGCTAGTGCGAAGGGGATATGGGAGTATATCCAACGTACCTACTCGAAGGCACGTGATGCAGCCCAGGTTTATGAGATAAAGATCAAGACAAATGGAATGAAGCAAGGAGACATGGCTGTCACAGAGTATGCCAATTTTCTGCAGATGATGTGGCAGGATTTGGACCACTACCGAGTGTTCGAAATGAAGTGCTCGGATGATGCAGCAATTCTCAAGAAATACATTGAAGGTGACAGGGTGTATGATTTTTTGGCTGGATTAAATTTTGAATTTGATCAAGTTCGGTTACAAATACTCAGTAAGGAGGATGTTCCTTCACTGGAAGAGGCCATCTCAATTATTCGGGGATAGGAGAGGCGAAGGAATGTGATGCTAGAAAAACCGAGTGGTATGGAAGGGTCTGCCCTGGTGACTAAATCAGAACATCAGGAGAAGAATAAGGATGACCAGCTAAGGAATTCAGGAAGGGAGAACCAGAGAAGGGAAAATAGAGATAATCTATGGTGCACCTACTGCAAGAAGTCGAGGCATACCAAGGAAAATTGCTAGAAGTTGAATGGTAAACCTCCAAGCAGTGAGTGGGGAACACGTGGTAGACAACAGAGGCCCCAGGCTCATCTCACGGAGCAAGCAAATGCTGAAGAAGGAGCGGACAACCAGGGATTTAAGGGAGAAGAGATAGGGTTCAAAAGGGATGAGATTGAAAAATTAAGGAGTCTATTGAGTTCTCTTGAAAAACCATCCGGAGCTAGTTCCTTAGTTCTCTCAGGTAAACCAGTGATTTCTTATGGATTGCACGCTTCTGGAAAATTTTTTGATGATTCTTGGATATTAGATTCTGGAGCCACAGACCACATGACACACTCCTCACATTTTTTCCGTACATATACTCCTTGTCCGAGTAATAGGAAGATTATCGTGGCAAATGGAGAATTAGCTACAGTGGCAGGTTTAGGAGATGTTTATATTAATCCCTCCGTGGTCCTTAGAAATGTCTTGCATGTGCTGAAGTTATCAGCTATCTTATTTCTATTCAAAAACTTACAACTGACCTTAAGTGTTGTACGATATTTTTCTTGTCTCATTGTGTTCTTCAGGATCAGGCCTCGGGGAGGAAGATTGGACTTGCTAAGGAAAGAAATGGTCTCTACCACCTGAAAATTTCAAAGAAAACCGCCAGTAACTTGCATGTGTCTCTTCTCAGTTCCTCCAATAAAGATGCCATTTGGCTTCACCACTATCATCTTGGTCACCCGTCCTTTAGAGTCCTACAACTTATGTTTCCACAATTGTTCATAGGAATAGATGTTTCTGAGTTTCATTGCGATGTTTGTGAACTAGCAAAACATACTTGTGTTCCTTTTCCTATCAGTAACAAAAGAAGCGTTTTTCCTTTTCAATTGATCCATAGTGATATTTGGGGTCCATCTACTATTCCTAATGTATCAGGGGCTCATTGGTTTGTCTCATTAATTGATGATTGCACACGTGTAACCTGGCTGTTTTTACTTAAACAAAAATCTGATGTCAGTCATATTTTTCCCAGCTTTCACTCCACGATCCAAAACTAATTTGGGGTGAAAATAAAAATCTTTCGGTCAGACAATGCTAGGGATTATTTCAACCAGGTTTTATCACCCTATTTTTAAAAGGAAGGAATTATTCACACTTCTTCTTGTATGGATACACCCCAACAGAATGGGATAGCTAAGAGGAAAAATTAGCACCTATTAAATGTCACTAGAGCCTTGTTGTTTCATGGGAACATGCCTAAATCCTACTGGGGGGAAGCCGTCTTAACAGCCACACACATGATAAATAGACTACCCTCCCGTGTACTTGACAACAAGAGTCCTATGGCCATTCTTAACACCCACTACCCTCACTTTAGAACCTCAAATGGCCTTATACCCAGGATATTTGGATGCACAGCCTTTGTACATGTCCACCGCCCAAACAATAGGAAGTTAGACCCCCGGGCAACCAAATGTATTTTTGTTGGCTATTCATCCACACAAAAGGGTACAAATGCTATCATCCTCCATCAAGTAAATTCTATATCTCAGCCGATGTTACCTTCTTTGAAAACAAATCTTATTTTTCTAAGTCCCATCTTCAGGGGGAGACAACCAATCGTGAAGATGGTACTTGGTCTAAGTCGTTTGAGTTTTTTGAGCCACTTGATCTTCCATCTACCTCTCATTCCCCTTTAGCCATCACTCCGGTCATTCCATCAAGTCCTTCCCAAGAGCCCGAGTCTTCCAACACAGAAACCGCAGAGTCTTCCAACATAAAAACCACCGAGTCTTCAAACACAGAAACCGACCCTACTTGTCAACCCCAAGAGCCTGTGTCCAGTCAAGTTACTGAGGTGTTGGTCTCCGAATCGAATCCGGATGCGGAAGCGTGGTGCGGGGGGGAAAGGCGGATCGTGTATAATAAAAATTTTCATAAAACTTTTGAGATACTCTATAGATTATATTAATTTATGCATGAATAAATTAATCTCATTAATTCATTTATTAAGAACTCAATCAGGAAAAATACCTGGAAGCCGACTCGGATGATAACTTGAGTTCTTTGACCACGAACAGTCCTTGCTCCAATCTTTGTGTTTAGAAAACCAATGTCTTCCATGTCAATTCCTAGAATCCACGAAGACGTGTGTGTGGGCACACATGAGATAAAACGGGTTACAATAAACACTCGAATTTCCATAAACACCAACGCATGCACGATGTGGAATTTTTGGAGAAAATATTTTTCCTTCCTTTCTCTCTTGAGAATTTCGGCCAGCCTTAACTCTTAGGGCATAAATTAATTCTGAAAATTGTCTCAAAAATTGTCACAAAAATTGTTTTCACAATTTTCTACTATTCTCTTATTTATAGAGTAGAAGCCAAACTTCTAGAATGAATCAAATCTCTATCTCCAATTTTGAATTTCGAAACGAAATCTCCTCTATCCTTATCCATTGTGGCCGGCCACCTTAGGGGATTTTCATCCCTGTGTGGCGCCAATATCAGCTAGGGAAGGAAGAGAAAATCATCCTTTATCCTGTAGTCCAATTTTGACTCAAATTCAAATTCTAATTTAAGTCAAACTTAAATTAATTTGAATTCTAAATTGAACAACTTATCAAATAAGTTTAAATGGATAAATCTAAATGTGTTCAAATTCAAATTTAAATAATCACATTATTTAAATAATAATCAATTCTCAATTAATTATTTTCGAGTATTTAATTTATAGAATTCCTTAATTCTAAAATTTCCCATTTTACCCTCTGTGTCTGGTAGAATTACTAGGACGACGCGGGGACTAATGGACCTATAATCCCGAGCTCCAATAAAATTAATAAT